ATTGAAGCAACTGCCATGTGATTGGTTGATTAGATAATTGCATTAATGAGAAATTGAACAGGTGTTCCTAATAATCCTTTAGGTGAGTGTATTTTAGCATTTTGTAATATTCTATATACATTTATCAAAAATATGAGATCCTTGAATTGCTTTGGGTCTGTTGAATCTAAAAAACAAAATGGCAGCAATGATATTTAACTGGCAAATGTATTTCTTTTTTTTTTAAGTAAAAGTTTTGATATAATCTATGATGTATTTAACTAAAACCTTTGAATCAGCTTTTGATTCCATGGCCATGGTGGAAAGATAAGTGGGGTGAATAGTAATAATAAAGCAACAGCTTCACCTTAATGAAGGGTAGGCTCCGTGTTCAGTGCATTATGGGAAATGCTGTCCTTTTTTTGTAACATGTTGCTATGCAGCAGCTACCATTTCACCAGCATTCCTAATTCCGGGGTTTTCATTATGTTTTTGGGGGTGCAATGCTCCCCCAACGAAAGCGCCCATTCAGAGCTTCTGCCACTCAAGTGAGCGTGTTTGGATTTATGAACGCTGTTATTCCTCCCTGCAGGTCAAGCAGCTCTCCTGGTAACAATCTCTATGTGTGATAATTATGTTCCTTGTTAAATTAAAGAAAACATTACCAATTTTTTTTCTGTTGATGGTTTCAGGCAGAAGGATATGATAATTAGACTTACAGATCTAACAGAAGAAGACAAGATTTTAAATACATACAGGTGATAATTGGGGATTTGCAGCACTCTAACAAAAACGCTGTGGTGTGGGATGATGATGAGGTAAGATGGCAGAGTTAGCAGCACATCCCTGCAAATGAAGGTCAGGTTAGCTTCTGCTCTGTCCTGTGCCTATTAGATCCATATATACACTGCCTGTCCAAAAAAAAAGTCGCCATTTGAATTTATATCAGCAAATACTTAAAAGCCAATGACTAGATCATTATTACAATCCTGCAACGTTATGCAGCAATAAAGTAAAGTCAGCTGAGTACCTGAATCTACTGAATGGCCAGGTTACACCTCCATCCATCATCAATGGATTTTTTCTTCCCTGTTGGCATGGGCATATTCCAGGACAAGAATGCCAAGATTCAATGGGTTTGAACTGTCAAAGAGTGGTTCAGGAAGCATGAGGAATCATTTTCACGCATGACTTGGTCACCACAGAGTTGCGACCTTGACCTCATTGAAGGTCTTTGGGATGTGATGAAGGAGGCTTTATGGAGGTTCAACTCATTTGTCAATACAGGATCTTGGTGAGAAATGAATGCAAATCTGGATGAAAATAAAGGATGAGATGTTGCAGAAGCTTGTGGAAACAATGTCATGACAAATGTGCACCATAATCAAAGCTAAAGGAGGCCCCACGAAAAATTAAAATGGCAACTTTTTTTTTGCACGGGCAGTGTGTATTTGCATGGGCAGTGTGTATTTGCACGGGCAGTGTGTATTTGCATGGGCAGTGTGTATTTGCATGTATATTTCTCTCAAGCTAAGCAGAGATACAATACCAGTCAAAAGTCTTTGTACACCACAGGTTTTTACCACTTTTATGTTTATTTCATAACTGCAGATTTTTTATTCCTGTTAAGCACTGGAAAGTTGGGTGAACAATTATAAATGAAAATTTAAGTCAAATAAAACGTTTCCTTTATAACATGGAAGGAGTATGTAACAGTGCATGTCTGACATTCTATTAACTGGTTGTGTGGTGATGGCAGAGTCAAATTCTAGGCTGTCCTTTAACTTTAAATGCACTATTTAACTTTCATCCCATGAAACGGAGCAGTATTTAATATCCCTTTTACAATGAATGCCTCCAATTTTTCTGCTGTTATAACTGTTAGAGGAGCTTACTTTGAATCAAAGGTATGACATTTTCTTGCTAATAGAGGTACTCAAATAGTGAACATTTATTTGTTAAACAATATTGAATATATTTTTACTAAATGTTAAGTGAGTGACATGCAAATGTAGAAAATCTCAGTGTGTGCAAACATTTTTGACTGGTAGTGTATGTTCACACAGTACATTTTTTAATACACAATTTACAACTGAGTGACTTTAGATGGGGCGGGGTGTGGCTGTGCAGGTTTGCACTTTGTGCCCACAGCTGGAAGGTTGCTGGTTTGAATCCTCTGGTTGGCAGAGTGATGTCACCATGAGGCCCTTGAGCGAGGCCCTTCAGCACAGCTGCTTCATTCTCTATTGCTTTGAATGAAAGCATCTGCTAAATAAATAATTTTAGTGCAGCATATGGCTGTTTTACCAAAGTGTGTTTTATGGAAAACAGTTTGATCAAGTTTGTGGTTCAGGTCAATGGCTGTGGAGGAGAGCGGAGAGCAGGTAGCATGCCGGTGCCTCATTTATAAGGTGAGACTCATTTGTAGGGCTTATTTTTAATTTGAAAGTGACCTTTTCTCACGAAAAAGCTTTGCTGCATTTTAGGCAGAAAGAAATTTTTTTTTTTTTTTAATTTAGAAGGATCACAATTCACACCTTTAAACACAGTCTTCTGTTATATCTTTGGATAGTCTGTTTGGAACCAGTATCAGTGCCACATTATTCAATTACATTCATCCTGGTATCCAGGTGGGAATTTGAAAATAAATGCACATATTTTCTGTGACCAGCTCTGAGCAGAGCTGGGGCAGGCAAGAAATATGAAAATAAAGAGGACAAGAGTTATTATTTTAATATGCATTTGCTTCAGCACACAATGCTGTTCTCTGAGTCACATACAGGAGTTCTTTTATTCTTTTTTAAGCTAGACATTTTTACAGAAGATGTCAAGATGCTCAGGATTGGCAAATCACACAATGGATCAAAAGTGTGACCCTGACTGGTGTGTGGAACCGTGATCGCTGGGTCGCCTGTGGACGGCTTTCCTCCGCTGCGGTGTCAGCCTGCCTGGAGCGGCTGGGCTTCAGCTCATGCTGATCATAATGCCTGTTAATGACTCTGGCTTTGGGTCAGCTGAAGGTCACCAATGGCTGATGTTAGGCTCCGCACTGGACTTCACAGATGCAGAACAGTGGTGTTCAGTAGCACACTTCTGCTGAACGTCAGCATTGAAGTTAGTCTGTCAGTTAAAGTAATTAACATGCCTTCAGTATATTTAGGACCCATACAACTGGGTCATTGAGAGGCAAGAACATAGATGGTAGTTTTCCAGTTTCTTAGGAAATATGGCTGTATTTTTAGTACCACCTCCTTATGTCTCCAAACTGGCCCTGAAGCAGCATGACAGTCTTGAAATTTCAGAATATGCCTTGCATTTGCAAAACAATTAGATGGTTTAATTTCAGTCAAAAACATCAGAACCCTTTAAATGAGACACATTTAATAACGCATATAGATCTCAAACTGCTTATCATTCAACTTGTTTAATGCTGGAAATCACACATTCCCACTTCATTGACTTAAATACCTTTATATTTATGCAAAATGGTGAAATTGGTGTTCTCATCAACTGGATTTTTTGATAAGGATATATTTGATGTTAACTGTGTATGTCAGCTGGCTTATATGTACATAGTGTGCCTAACAGTACAGTGCCAAGGCGTGCAAATGACAGTGAGATGCAGTGATTCCTTCCAACCTGTAGGTGTCGGGCAGTGTGCTAGCAGGAAACTTTAGGCACTGGCTAAAGGGAGTCATGAAGCAGTGATAATAATTGGCAAGGAACCTGTTTGTTGGGTACTGATCATAGATATAATCATAGCCAAATTTCTGTCACTTAAATACCATATTTAACACTGTTGAAAATTTATGGATGCATAGGTAACTCCATGTTTTTGGACTGTTGGAGGGAAACCAGAGCACCCAGAGGAAAACCCACGACAACATGAGAAATACATGCAAACTCCACACACATGGAACGCAGGTGGAAACTCGAACCCAGGTCCCAGAGGTATGAGACAACAGTGCTAACCATTGCATCACCATACCTTGAATGGTATATATATATTCAATATATGCATTTATGGTTAGCTAGACATTCTACAATAGAAACAATAAACAACACATTAAAAACTGACAGATCTCAATGCAAGTAGAATAGTTTATTTGTTAATCAGTGTCTGGACCATTTGCTAACATTATGCAGAGTATTTGTTAATGTAGGTTTCCACGTTACCTTTTAGTTCACGATTCGTCTGTTCCAAACAAATCTTTTCCCTCATGCCAACAGCATGGAAGGAAGTCATGGGACCACCCTACCAGCAGCTAGCAGGAGAGTGGAACTGTTTAAGTGCACAAATAGATTAAAATCATTACTTCCTGGCCCCTTATGTCTATGCTGATGCTGAAATTTCCAGGGTAACAAGTCTTTCATACTTTGCTAGTATTCACCACATGGCATGCTCATTCACATTATCTGTGTTGATTAAAAAAAAAAAGTTATTCAGTTTTAAAAATGCTGCATTTAGCTTAGCCGTCTCATTTTATTTGAGGCTCCTGCCGTAACGTGCCTCATGTTAGACTACCACCTGCTGGTGAATCTATGAACTACACATTACTACATCTGGCGTATACAGTGAAAGAAGTTAGAAACAAGGTTGAAAGAAAAAAATGTCAGGATTCTTATCTTTATTGTGCATTGATTTAGTGAAGTAGAAAAGAGGGCAAAGTACTAAAACAGTGGATTTTAAAGTAAAAATGAGAAGCATTGTAACATCTGTACAGAGGGCTGGCTGTGTATTTATGCTTCTACACGTGATTCTGCTCCTATGAAAGTCGTTCTGAGATATGTCCAATAAAACAGAAAAAAATACATGATAATTTTTACAAAACATGTTTAAAAAACTCACTGTACAATATAAAAGGTGAATAAAAGTCCAAGCAGGGGCTGAGAGGAAGCCTTACGCTGAAAGCGGGGACGCGGGGACGCTACTTGGTGCGCGGTACGAAGCGCATGCTGAGGCTGTCGTCGTGCTCCTCCTCCACGGGCTGCTGGGAGATGTTGTTGGTCTGCCGGATGCTGCTGAGCGTGCAGCCTGTACGCGGACACACCGTGTATCGCGCCAGCAGCGTCCCCAGGATGGCCTTCATCATCACCATGGCAATGTGCTTCCCCACACAGGAGCGCGGCCCTGAGCCGAAGGGTTGGAAGAAGCGCTTGGGCACCTGGGGGGTGACGCGGGTGCAATGCTTTAGGGCCAGGTGTGGTAAAGACAGAACAGCTCAGGCAGTCAGTTTAATGCCTTTATCCATGTCCATTATATTCATGGCGACTGGGGTTCCATTCGCCTCTCTGCTGTATTTGAGTCCCGTGTCATAGCGGACTCCTCCACCCCAAAGACATGCAGTTAGGCTTTCTGGCATCTCTAAAATACCCATAGAAAGTTAGCCTGTATGTGCTGTGGAAGCCTGAGTTTACCCCTGCCCAGTGCTGCCTGGGATAGGCTCCAGACCAGCCCCCCTACCGGGACCCTAACCAAGTGGTTGGAAGATGAACAAATGGAATAATGAGTGATACACTTTAAAACCTTGTTCCAAAGTCTTATAATTATACTGCTTTACTGTGGAACAGTAATAAGGTTCTATAATGTTTTCTGGATTTTTGTGGGAGTCCTGTGGATACCACTTACAGTTTTCTCAAAGTTTTCCAAGCTGAATTCATTTGGTTTGGGGAAGAACTCCGTCTTGTGCATGCGGCCGACGTTGAGGACGATGTTGGTTCCCTTGGCCACCTTGTAGCCCTCGATGATGTCGTCTGTCAGAGCTCTGCGCATCGTGAAGTCCACGACGGGATGGAAGCGCAGCGATTCGTTGATGCAGCTCTCCAGCACTGTCAGCCTTTGCAGGTCCGCATTCTCCAAGGCCTTTTCTCCTGTTGATTAACGACAAGAGGGATCACACTCGAAACACTGAGGAGCTGCACCGTCTCTGGGTGGGTTTTCCATTTTGGCTCAGAGGAATGTGGCTCATGAGGTCAGGTTACCCAGAAAAGCTCAGGTTAGTCAGTCTGTAATGAGGAATGTAAGGTCAGTGAGGTCAGGAAACCTGTCTTACATTACCTCACTGCTAAAGTAACCAATGAGAAATGGATTAAACTAGTTAATAACTCAGCAATGTTCCTGCCCACCCTGAGTGCTCAAGCCCCATTTCTCCCAAACCATCTGACAGCATATTTGACTGTTTTCATGTAAACATTAATGTTACTCTGACGGGCGTGTTGAATGAAGACTCTTACCCACGACTTTATCTACCTCCTCCAGCACCTTCTGCTCCTCGGCAGGGTTCTGCTTCAGCAGCATTAACATGAAGAACAGGCTGATTGACAAGGTGTCAGGGGCTGCAATGACCATCTCCAGGATACACTGTCTGACGTCGTCCGCCGACAGCTCGCCGTGACCCTGTGCCGGACGCACGGCGCCACATTAGCTCGGGCTGCATCGTACAGCGGACGCCCAAGCCGGGGGACACCAACTGACCTGTGCAAATATCAAGTCAGCCGCGAAATCCAGTTCGTCCAGTTTCTCTGCCTGGAGGAGAGCCGTCCGCTTCTTCTCGATGAGGATCTCCATGGCATCCTGGAGCTCCTGTCTGTGATTAAAAGAAAAGCAAAATTCAGTTACACAAGACGAGAAAAATTCATTGGAAACAGACCTCATCATCATCCCACGTTAGAGGATATTTTTGGAAGAGTGTTGCACCACTAAATTAAACAGGAATTACAGCACTTGCCGAAATGAAAAATGAGAACATTGGGCAACTTACGCTGAGTTCTTATATTTTTTATAGATCCACTCAAACTTGAAGAAAATGGCAGGCTTAATCAGCACAGTCTGCCAGGTGTCAAAGTATTTCTGAATCTTCAACAGCAGCTCCTTTCCTGAGAGCAAAGGAAGCACAAAGCAGAACTTTCTGGTTGGATCCAGCATAGATGTGAGCAACATCTGCAGTCCGAGCAGCATCGCCAACTTCAATCAGCTGGCTGGCGTGAGATTTTCAATTTGAGACAAGTCTGCACACATATGCACATGCATTTATACGTATGTAACAGTTTTATTACCTTGTAAATAGTTCATAGGGTTTGCAAACTACCCCAACGCTTTTGATGTAGCCAACTTTAGATTTATAGTGGAATAATATACATTTGCTGGAAGATTTCTTGCATGAGCGTGAGAGTCTGAAAGCGTGAGTGTTACGCCAGATCAAGGGTGTAACTTTTGTTTGAACATTTAGGGGGAGGCTTGTATCAGCCAGTTTCGATTAATGGGGGGGGTTACAACCCCAACCCCCTGTAATTTATGCCCATGGCCAGATGCATGAGAGTTGGCAACCCTGCAGTCGATACAATACGGTAATGATTACACTGGCAATGGGGTTCAGAAAATCTGGATTATTACCTCAGTTTGACCCTGGGTCAGCCCTTCAGTAGATATTAATAACTAGGAATTGCATAGCAACAATATTTCTTAAATCCTAATGTACAAATGTGTGGGTTGTTTACACAATGCTGCAGTAGTTAAATGTAGAACTTAATAGATAAGGACAAGCGACTGACGTACCACTGAAGCGTAAATGTCAGAAAATTAATTTAATCAGAGTTCTGTCAAATTTTTTTACAGTTTCATCCTATGGAATCCTGAAGGATGAATTCGCAACAGGGAAAGTTTTCTGTAAATATACCGCATAATTAACGGGTGGATATCAATTTGCTCACCGTCGAGCGGAACCCTCAGGAAGAGGTTGTTGGAGATGTCCACCACGATGCAGCGCAGCAGGTGCAGAGTGTCTACCTGACCCTGCGCATCGGTGAACTCCTGCAGCTGGTCCAGATGCCTGTTTGTAGCCGCGACACAGATGTCCGTGGTTTGCTGCAGTCCGGGACCTGTCAAGGCTGTTACACGGAGACCGCGCTTAACAGTGGCTACCGAAGAATCATGGGGGTGTGAATTAAGTAGAACGTATAAAAAGGAAGTTCAGGTTCTCTTCATCCTCGTCCTCCTAGTTACTTTGTAACACTACTTATTTAAGGAAAAATGGAAAAGTACCTTTGGCAAAGTATGCACGACATTTTTTCCAGTGAGTAACGTTGCAGTTAAAGATGATGCCTCTTTCGTCCATGCCAATACACTGCAGACCCTGTTTACTGGCGAATCTGGAGGTGTACTGGGCGCTCCTCAAAACCTGATACACAGCCGAGGACCTGCGCAAATAAATGCGCACCTACATTAACCTTACCCGTCCTATCTATTCGCAATATTCATCTGCCGCGACTTGCCGTAATATATTGATTTCACGTAGAATTAAATGCAAGACAAATTTGACTTCAGTTACTGAGTATTTAGTAGATTGTTCCATATTTGCTTGTTAACATTTTTTTTCGGTTTTGTGATTTCCCCGATTCATGGTAATTCTTCGCATTTGTATTAAGTTGCAATATTTAATTAGGCTACATGAGATGCAGGTGGGAAAAATGTATATTTACTTGCCTGCTTATAATAAGCGTCTCTTCGCCGTTTATCCAGACCCTAACAATATCTCCATACTTTTCGTTGTAGTAGTTGCAAGCGGTGCCTATTCCAGTCCAAATGAACCTGCAATAGGTAAGAAGGGGGCCGATCCCCATGCAGAAGGAAGGACCTACAGAGACGCCGGGACGAAATGCGGGTCAGTCTAGTTAGTGCATCATCTTTTTCGGACCTCAGAAACATTTATCTGCGGTGCCTAATGTAGGTCATAGCCTAAGTGACTGCAGATTTCAGATTAGGATTTTCACCTTCTCGACGGGAACTTGAAATTGAAGGATTTAAAAGAAATATATGAAGAGCAGAAATGCGAAGCGGTGAAACAATTTTGAGAAGTGGAAGCACTTTGTAATAAAATGTCTTCCCATTTATGAAAGCATACAAAGAGAGATACACCTGTGTAAACGTGATTTTAGCGGTTCTGCGTGACAGAAAATAACCAAATATTAATACTGCAATAAGAAAATAGCAAATAAAATGCAGATGAATGGGTGCGTGAAACTATTGCACTTCTGTCGTCCAGCAATGAGCTTGAACAGTTGTGATCCGTATCACTCGCCTGGCACAGAGGATTTGTGTGCACGATTCCGAGCGGCAAGCAGCAGGCACAGCAGGACTAGCAGCGTGGCGGTGGCTCCGGTCATGACCTCCGCTGTTGCGTGAGTAGCGTTGCGTGGAAGCGGGACCAGAAGCTCCATCGTCGCCTCTCTCAGGTGTATCTGATTCAAAGGTCCAACATGCGGCGAGGGCACATTCGCTACCATACTGACAGTGTATGTCGCGTCTTCCGATTTAGCCGTGTCACCTGTCCGGTTCGCTAGCATCGCAGTCTTATATCCAGCCAAGTTTGGTTAATAGACGGGTCAGGGTAATTCAAAAGTCAAAACAAAAAGCGGAGTTTTAAACAAACCCGAAGTAACCTTGATTTATAAAGAACCTTCCAACAAACGCTGTCCTTGAAAATACTACAGTAAAATAAAGTTAGGACATATTGTGACATGTGTAACCAAAACACGCTTGCATTAAAAGTTTTTCAGTTTGACCCCTGACTTGGCGCGTCTTCATCTGTCAAACGGCGCTTTTAATTTATTCTTCAAAGAATGTGAAAGTCAATTTTCCGCGCGTTTATCTGGAAGATACAACACTTGGCCCCTGTATTCGGTTATAAATAACCACCATACCACATTCGGTTCAGATGTTGTCCTTCTCCACATCTGGGACTCCAACTTAAACCTACTCGGTTAGAAGCCTGAGTATGTTTAATGCATGCCTCATTTATGTGCTCAGCTGTAACAATATAGGCTACTAAAGAAGGTTATAAAATTTAACCAGCACCCTGAAATATATATTTTGAAAAACAAGTTACAGAAATGAGGCACATTTTATGATCTCTGTAAAACATTGTTGCAAAACAATGATGATCAAGTTAAGGTGTTTTTCATGACCCAGTTTTGGATAATCAGCTGGAGGATGGATGGATGTATTTATGGAAGTTATGGTTCTTACCCTGTAGTTGTCTGCTGTCACTCAGAGCTGGGGGCTACCAAGAACTAAAAAACAAATCTGCCTTCTGAATATTTAAGTCTTGGTCTTCAATGTGAGACATCAGGGCTGTTCCCCCTTGTGAATCGGCATTCTTCTAGTTCTGGATTACACAAAAAAAAAAAAAAAACAACTGCTGTAAGATGTTAATTTAGCGGTTGCTAGGAAACACCTACAGTTTAGGTTTCAAGTACCATCAAATGTCCTAATCTTTTTTCATCATGGCCTCCCCAGGCAAGACAATGGGACAATAATGCAGGACTCCTTCTGTGGGAGGGGCAGTCTAACAAGCAAACACCCCCAGAATAAAGCGCTACCCTGCCAGCCGACTTGTACCCAGCCAAATCTTCGGGAGCGTAAAAGCAGTGCTTCCTTCGTTTTTTTTTTTTTGGGGGGGGTACCTCCCCATTATGTTTGCTGGCTGAACGGGGCTCTGTGAAGCGTACAATACGCCTGGGTCAGTTTGACCCAAGTAATCATGAATGGCGTCTTCTTAAGAATAAAGAACCAGACCATACTGCCACACAGCAGCTGCAGCCAACAGCATAAAACACATAAAAGTGTTGTGTTGGATGTATCCCTCTGCTGACCTGCCTCTCTATCTCCTGGGGGAGCGAGGGGTGTGCGTTGCGTAAATTACATTTAAACTTGTGGAAGAATTGCACAAACACAGCGCCCCCTATTTGCCAAGTCGGCAAAGATCCAGTCCACCAGTGAGAGACCCAGTAGTGGGTGGCCTCTATGGGTCATGGCTCCCCCCAAATCACACTGGCCGGGTGCTAATAGGGCTGCCACAGTGACGATGCTCTAGATTTTATAATGATGATCAAAAGAGGGAGAAGGAGATAAAAGTGTCACAGTTGAGGCCAGAGTGTCAATCCCTGTTATCAGGGCAAAGGAGACCCAGCTAACAAAAGGACACAAATATCATTAACTTAAGAATATAAATTTATGTTTTATAGTTTCAGTACTGAAGACTTTAATTACATCAGCCGCATTTCTCGCTTGGTCTCCACTGCATGGTTACAAGTTTATGTTTTATATTAAGTGTTCCTTTCAAAAATAGAGGAAATGAGGAAACCTCAAGTTTAATGTTCAGGGTTAATTTTCAAACCTTCTGACTCACTTTGACTTGCTTTCATTCCCCCAGCAAGAAACAGTTGTTGAGTGAACATAAGTGGAATTCATTGAGAAACTTCATTCTGAATGATTCTTTAACAAAAGGCACATTTTAAAGCAGTGCTGTGAAATGTGAATCGTCGCGCTCACATAAGTCGCCTGGTGGACAGCACGAGCTTGTTTATCCCTCATACATTTCACCACATTAATATAGCCGTCATACTGTAACATTATTCTTATTGGTTTCATGTATTAAAACTGTCTGCCACAGAAGTCTTTTGTCTGACCATAAGACCTTTGTTTTATTTTATCAGAGTAAAAGAACTTGCAAATTCACTCGACGCCCACACGCCCGGGGAAGGAATCCAGAGGGCTCAAGCGGGCATCCGTGCGCAAACCGTGACCCTGATAACGGCTGGTGTGGCCCAGACGTCGTGTGTATGAACGAGCAGTAAGACATGCACCCATCACGGGCCTTGAGTGCTCTATCCTGTCTAGCTGTCATGTTTGCCGTCAGCTAATGTGCATTAATGTAGCCTCTTTTGGGTTGTCTGGCTAACCATATTGATAATGACACTGAGTCTCTGTAGCAATAGCAGCCTGCCATTCAAAGGACAGTGTTCAGCGTCATGCACCTGTGGCAAGTAACTAGTTACATAAGGGTAACAGATGCTCAAAAGAAAAACACTAAGCCAATTCCACTATTTAAAGCAATCTATGTTAAGCTGTGCTATACAGAGCATCGTTTGTATCTGAGTTGTGCTTAATTTTTAAACGCTATAGATGTAGCGGTGCTGTAGTTACATTTGACTTTTACATACCATTGTGCTGCTGTGTTGTACTGCAGCTAGCATGACGGAGATGACCTAACTTGCGTTGGATAATTTGGAAATAAGCAGCTTCTGTTTCTTTTAGTTTTTACGTTTATTGTTTTTACTATGTGAAATCGTTCACTTAATTAAATGTGATGCATGTCGAGAGTTACTCTTTTCTGCCAGTTAATCTGAATGTTCCTGTCATTACATGAAGATGATACAGGAAGTGTAAAGAAGGGATGAAGAATCCATGTGTTTTGGATATAATGGCGCTCCATTCACTGCAGGGACGACCATCTCTAGCGTCACTGAACGATTCTATGCTGTGACAAATCATCATTCTGTATTTCATTTAGTGTTTCTTTACTTCCGTCATGCTGGAAAATTAGTTGCATAACAGTAACTGTACAAAAACAGACGGAGCAGCACACAATGATCCAATTCACACAGCTTTGTAGGCACAATGCAAAGAAGGCAATGAATTAAAGATTTGTTTTGTTCTGGAACTTTTTTTTTTGATCCCAAACATTCTGTAATGGAACTGGAACGGGCCTCCCATCTTGTCCTTCCCCTAGAACCACAAAATTGTTATGCTTGTGAAGACCCTTTCATCTGAAAATCACACAACTCAGCACCGCAAGGGTTAGGCATTACGCCGTCACGTACAGAACAGCTGCTATTGCCGTACTCGTTCAGTTTTTTAAGTCATCAATTCAACTTGCATTTATATTGTTATTCTTTGTTCCGACAACACTTTTCTGAAGGGAACCTTTCACCAGGGAAACCCCTAGTGCTCCTTTATGATAAGAACATAAGAACTATACAAACGAGAGGAGGCCATTCGGCCCATCGAGCTCGCTTTGGGAGAACTTAACTAATAGCTCAGAGTTGTTAAAATCTTATCTAGCTCTGTTCTACCTAACGTGTCCCTTTCGTTTGATTTGCATTGGGAACCTTTAGTGGCTTTAACTACCAGGCTTTGCCTTAGGCGATGTGGGCATTTCGGTTCAGAAGTTTAATTCAGAAACAATCATTGTTGACGGAAGCCATTACATTATCAAGTACAGTCCCCGAGTCTAACATGGTATTTATTTATTTTGGCTGACACTTTTATTCAAAGCAACATCAAATCAAGAGAGCAGGGCCAGCCAGTCCTTGGAGTAATCGGGTTACGGTTCAGTGATGGGACCATTCTGGCTTCTATGGGATTTGAACCAGCAACCTTTTGATCCCTGGCATAGAGGCCTTCCCCACAGAGGCCCATGTTTCTCCCTGTGAAAGAGAGAGATTGAGTACCACATCACATGACCTGGCCACCTGACATAAACACCGTAGGAATGGTTTTGGCCAGAAGGCGAAGGAAAAGCGGCCAATGATAGCTCAGCATATATGTGGGACCTTCTTCAGGAGGGCTGGAAAAGCATCCCAGGAGGCCACCTCACGAAACTGGCGTAGAGGAGACAGTACGGTCAGCCAGTGATTGGGGTTAAGGGCCTTGCTCAAGGCCCCAATGCTGGGATCATTCTGCCGACCATGGGATTTGAACCAGCAACCTTCCCAACCTACAGAGCTGCCCCCCAAAACAAATTATTACTTTTTTTTGTTTAAAACTTTTTTAGTCAGTGAATGATTCCATATATGTTATTTTATAATATTGATGTCTTTATAATTATTCTAAAATGTAGAGAATAGTACCAATATACCTTTTTATCGGTGGGTGTGTCCAAACTTTTGACTGGTACTGTAGGATTAAAATAACATTTGATGCTCATCCCAAATCTCCTTGTGCTAACAAGTAGCGCAAAATCTGAAGCCTTCAAACAGAATCATCAGAAATGATGTCATAGAAATTGGATGTAACATGATCTGTAGTCACCACAGTGATCACCATTCCGGCGCACCACCTGCGCAAGGTCCCCGAGGTGGTCTTTATCTTTTGTTCCACTGTTCGTGACTGGCTGACATAAATGCAGTGCCACACGATTGGCTGACATAAATACAGCGCCACACGATTGGCTGACATAAATGCAGCGCCACACGACTGGCTGACATAAATGTGATGCCGAGCGATTCCCTGGGGTGCTGCACTGAGTACATTAATGCTGTTAATTGTTTGCAATGAACTTAACACTAACAATAGGACACGCTTCATGTTAACTTTAGTAATATCAACTTTATAATAATTCAACATAAGCTGGCTGAATAGATTATGTTAGATGAGTTTTTTAGTTCTGGTACCGGGTACTTAGATCTCTTCCTAAATTGTATGACCCTCTTTGGTCTCAGCTATTTATACTGTATAAGGTGTGATCCTTTGTAATGAACTAAGGACATAAGTAAAATCACCATAAGTCATCTTAATATTGAAAAATAAACACTGAACACTCACTTTCCTCTGCTGCCCCCGGAGGATGGGATCCCCCTTTTGGTCTAGTTAGGGTTTGGGCTTCCTCTGCTGCCCCCTGGAGGACGGGTTCCCCCTTTTGGTCTGGTTAGGGTTAGGGCTTCCTCTGCTGCCCCCTGAAGGACGGGCTCCCCCTTTTGGTCTGGTTAGGGTTTGGGCTTCCTCTGCTGCCCCCTGAAGGACGGGCTCCCCCTTTTGGTCTGGTTAGGGTTTGGGCT